GGCCGCCCTCGCCTCCGCTCCAGGGCCGGGCGGCCCGGGTAGGGCGGCGCGCGCGCCTGGGGCCTTCGCAGTCTCAGCCAGGCGGGAGGGGACCGATCGCGCGCTGCTCGGCAGTTCCCAGAGCCCGCCCGCGGGCGCTGGCGTGTCGGCTACCCCGACACCAGACTTTGGGGAGGCGAACACTGCCCCTTTTCTGTATGTTTACCGATACAGACTGGCGTCGTTTACTGAAAGGAGGTGTAGGGTACTACTTTTTTTAATAATACGAAAAAATCCATATTTATATACCGTACTGAAATAATTCTGGAAGAATATACAAGAAATTAGCAATGGTGGTAACCTCTGGGGAGAAAAACTGAGTTCCGAGTGACATCAGGTGAAGGAAGGAGACTTATTTTTCCCACTGTGTACTCCGGTTTGGTTTAGATTTGTATTCTTGAAAAAAGGTGAAAGGTGTGTGTGTGCGCGTGTGTAAACAAGCCATGTTCATTTATAACATTTCCCTCCAAATAGAATACGGCAGTAAAAAAAACTCCAACCTCAGCTTTACCCCTTACAAAACTTCATTATGGGTCTCTTCTACACTGTCCGTTAAAACCTTTTCCTCCGCGTTTTTAGCCCCAAATTCCATACGTCTTTTGGGTTGTGCTTGAGCCCAGTGAATATTTACTCTGATCACTGTTATTTGAAATCTGACTGTTCAGAGAACTACAAAGAGCTTGCGAAAAAGTCTAGTCTGTGTGTTCTTCTCAAGTTGAGGATTTTCACCAATTTGAGCGCATTTTACTATATTTTAGAGAGGGAATTCTGATTTTCTTCATGAATTAGTCTCTTATTGTCATTATGTGTGTTTACTAGCAGGAGAGGGTATTGGCTGCTGTAGTGATTAGAGAAAATTAAAACGTTCACAAACCCCACTAAAAAGGTAACATTTGTTTAACCAGGTACTCATACTCTGATACCTTTTAAGTAAAATATTTTACAGTTAGATGTCAGATGTCTTAAGTATCCAAGTAATTTATTTAATTGTTATACTCTAATTAGCAGGAACAAATGCTACACTTGTTCGTGTTAAATAGATTAGAGGGAAACTGCATCACAATGGAAGTCTGACACCTTAAAGAGAAGCAATTAGTTTTATGGTTGTTTTGTTTTTAATGCATTTAAAATAAAGTGGCTGAGGTTAATTTAATGAGTGTATGTGCAGGTTAAACTCATTACAGCCTCCCACAGCTTAAAATTTTCTTCAGAGGGCATCCTTAACTTCAGTGTGTGACTCCTCATTGTTCTCCTTTTTCTTACATGCATCATATTTAAAAAGAAAAAGTCCATGGAAAATAGTATAAGGAAGTTCCTTGTTTAATGAAACATTATTTTGGGGGAAGGAGAGGAAAGGCAAATAGAGCTGAGTACTAGATGAGCTCTTTAAGGTAACATTTTCTCGAGATGGGGTGAACAGCTGGTAGAATAGTGGCCATTTAGATACAAGTTGCATTCTAAATTTGATCCAGTAACATTCGTATTAGATAGTGCCATTTATTTTGTGCCCTTACGGGTAAAAATAACTGTTGCTAGAAAGAAAACAATTTTTAACATCTCTGAATCAATTAGTTTTCCTTCTGTGTGGCAGGTGTCTGGGCAGTGACCAAGGTCAGCCAATATGCTTTGTAAATGGGTTATAAATGATACCGATTGAAGGGTGTGTCACTATCAATTAGTTCTCCTTGTAGGCTTTTTATTTATGGTTTTAATGGACCCAGCTTAGTTCTCAGAAGCCGAGTGTTGAACCCAAGTTTGTTTAGCCAGCAATACAGAACCAATCACTATGAATTTGAACTCATAATACATTGCAAAATGAGAGATTTATGGTGTAGCTTGAATTCCTTGTCACTGATGAGTACAACTGAGATCACTTGTTACAAGGAACTTTTATAACCCGTTCACCTTCATTTCACATGTTTATGAGGACGGGCTTCACTTATGATCTGCAGTTGACAGTCATAAAGTTCTCTGTTATAATGGCAAATTCTGATAACAAGTTTGCTTCATATTGGCTCCGAATTCCACTGGAAACTGTCATAAATGGCCTGTTGGTAAAATAAACCTTCCTGTCCCCTAGTTTACTGATTTCACATTTATGAAGAGAAAGGAGTGCTCTCCTAAGAAATTATTTTCTTTTAACCAAAAAGAGGAAAAAAAAGAAAAGAGAAAAAGCCCCACGTGTAAGGTTTTGTTAATAATTGCTTTCATCGTTTTAGCAAAGCCATTCCCCAAATAATATTCCTGTTAGCCAAGCACAGTCATTTCCACCAAAAGTCTGATTCTTTCTTAGCACTTACTTCTCAGAAATGGTATAGTGTCAAAAGGTTTACCAGTGTCTCGTTGTTTTTATAACTTGTCTGGAAAGAGTACTGCTAAAGTAATACAACAGGATGTGAATTGTGAATGCAAAATTCAATTTTATCTTTTAAATTTGCCGGCGAAGGATTTGGAAATCTCTGTCCTCTGATCTGTGAATGTTCATGCATGCTCAGTTTATATTTTTGTTATCTACCCTTCAGTTCTTTTATTTAAGAAAATTAATCAGCATAATTTCCAATATTTTTTGTACATCCCAATTTTCTTTGGTCCCTGAATTTTTCCCCATAGTCTTTTTTACTGAAGTCATAATAACATATTTTTTATAGCTCTTAACCTAGGTAAATTAAAGACAAATCGTATATTTTGCTATTTGAGGGAGGAAGTTATACTAGCTTAAATTCTCATTCTTTTTAATTCACACACAGTAATTTACAGGAAATAAATTCCCCGTAAGGTTGTTAGGGGCATAAAGGGAAGGTGGAAACGGGAGTAATAGGCATACAGTTGGCCGTTCCTGGTAATGCCAGTTAGCCCTTTGTATGAACAAAAATTGAGTATAATACCTACAGGATAAATACTGCTGTCACTGTATAGAAGTGTCACTGTATAGAAGACTGTCAGCATTAAAACATTGATGTAAAATTTACTTTCTCCTTGTAAAATGTAAAAAAATTCTGGCAGGCAATTATGATAATTATGGAACGTATTAAAATATATTTCTTTACAAAGTTTTAAACATATTTTACAAGATGCATTTCCATTAACATACATAAACTCTAAAAACCCAAACTCATTGCCATCGAGTGGATTCTGACTCATAGCAACCATATAGGACAGAGTAGAACTACCCCCATAGGGTTTACAAGGAGCGGCTAGGGGGTTCGAACTGCCAGCCTTTTACTTAAGCAGCGGAGCTCTTAACCACTGTGCCACAGGGATCCTCCTGTAAATTGTAATTGTAAATTGTAAATTTTCTGAAAATAGACCTGGTTAGTTTTCAGGCCAAGCAGTGGGGACTGCATAAAGCTACTTAGCACATCTGTGGGTGGTTTGTGATTGAATTTCGTGACTCATGTATTTCAGACCTGTGACCACAGTACTGTCTATTTGGAAGGGGGGCTGGGGAGGGAGACACTCTCCTGCTGATGCCTGGTATTATACACTTACTTCTGGTGTGTTTTGGAGTATAATTCTATTTGGGCAACCTTTAGAAAAATAAACCTGATTACCCTTAAAGTAATAGCAGTAACTAGGAAACTTCTCTAAATCCTTGGGGAAGAAACCATCATTGAGATTTTCCATATTACGATGCTAGTGAGAACTTTTGAAGTGGAGTTATTGGCCAACATTATGTGATTACTTCTCAGTTATTTCTTCTAGAATCTATGGTAATATGCTGGAGCAAATCAAATGTTTGGGCTTGAGCACACTATGTAAACCTCAAGTTTCTTAACTCAGGAAGGTCATCCTAATTACACTTCAACTTTTTTTATCAAGGGACATTTCGTTTATAATAAAACCAGAGTACCTGCTTGTTGATTACCGTATCATGATACAACGAAGTATGTGGCATATACGTAAAAATCATCTACATTTTTGCACTTACTTTCTTGTGCTGTCTTCTAGCCTGCATCACGGCGGCTTGGATTGTCCTGTGCCAATTGTCACACCACAACCACCACTTTGTGGCGCAGAAATGCTGACGGTGAACCTGTGTGCAATGCTTGTGGACTCTACATGAAACTCCATGGGGTGCGCCATTTATTCTGCTCATGCGTATATGCATTTGGTATCTTGTTTGTACAAGGTGGTTTTAGTTTAAAAAATTCCCAGCAAATGAAAGGGTATGAAAGGGAAAAACTTGAATTTTTGAAAGTCAAATATACATTTGAAGTATGCATTTCACTAAATCTAAGATGCTATTCATTACAATATAAACTATTATGAATCCGTAAGAAACAAAAAAATGCCGTCAGTTAAACTCTCACACGCACACATCCCAATTTTAGAAATGCTAAAATGTGAAAAACGTGCATTTAAAAATTGATAACCTGTGATAGTAGTCCCCTGTCCCTCTTTGTTATTGTGCACACTAAGAAAACAAGCAAGAAACAAATTAGAAATGTACAATAACTAGTTTATATTTTAAACTTTAAAAACATTTGGAATGCAATCAGATATATTGGTACAAAGGAGTAATACATTTAAGACTTATAGTTAGAAAGACTCTACACTTCATATTAAAGGATCACACAAAATATAAACACATCAATCTTATAGAGAAAAATAACCTTGTATCTGTAGGAGGAAGAGAACAAATGATCTCTTTGAGATAAAAATATTTATTCAATGGCTTTACTCTACAATTGAAATGATTTAAAACAATAAACATTAAATCGAAGCAATAAATTCTCCCTGACAAATTATCCCATTTTTTTCTGAAGGAACCTCTGTGGTTGATGGGGAAAAATATAAGCACTTAATCTATTGAATGCGTATAAAAATACTGGATTGAAATTAATGTCAAGTTTTTTTTAAATGAAGTCTGTTAGTACTAGTGTTGGGTGTTTAGTTAGTTTGATTTTTCTTGAATATAATATTTATTAAACTTACGGCCTATATGAAAAAAAAACTTTTAGGTGCCTCGGCCGCTTGCTATGAAAAAAGAGGGAATTCAAACCAGGAAACGAAAACCAAAGAACATAAATAAGTCAAAGGCTTGCTCTGGTAAATATAATAAAATGCTACTTAATTGTATTTTCCAACTTTAATGGTAAGTATATATATATTTATAAGGTTAATTTTGACTGTTGCAGGTAATAGCAATAATTCAGTTCCTATGACTCCAACTTCCACCTCCTCTAACTCAGACGACTGCAGCAAAAATACTTCTCCTACAACACAACCAACCGCCTCAGGGGTAAGTGTTAAAAGTAGCACCAGAGTAGTCACAGTGAAGAGTAAACTCTTTCTGAGCTAGTAGGTTGCTCTTTAGTATATTATCTCAAATTTTATCTTATCTGGTAGTACAATAATCTAAATCAACATTCAGTTTAGTTAGCTGATACCTAAGAACAGTTTTTAGAGGAAATTACATATAAATGTAAACAAAATGACAAATTTAAGTACTTTACAAACCTCTTAATTAAGATCTATATCATTTTTTTTATGATTAAATTAACCTAAGTAAAAGCCTAAGTTTGAGTTTGAAGATCTGAAATGTTTTATTTCCAGGTTTTTATCTGTATTGTTACCTATGTGTTTCTAACACAGGTCAGAAAAACTACCAGGCCGATGGTTTTGTATATCCCAGGGTCGATGACATTTACAAAATTGTTCCAGCTATTTTTCCTTTTTATTAATCATCTGCCCAAAGCAAAGCTCATCATAACGTGATTACAGATCTCCTTTCACCCAGCTGTCCCCATTCGGGGAGATCTTGACTTTTCTAAAGGACCTTAGCTGTACCTGGGTTTATTACATTTGAGGAACAGACTTGGGAGCGATTTGTGCCATTGAGCACCGGGAGATGCCAGGGGCTTTGAAGGTCGTGGAGCTAGTTTCTGTGCATCTATCGCCGAGATGAGGTTTTCCTGAAGTAAAAAGCATTTTCCACCCTCGTGTTTCCCAGATTTGCCTGGAATGCTGTTTAAAAATTACCAGGCCTCACCCTAGATCTCACTTAGATCCGGGACAGGGCCGTGGGCAGCCGACTTTAAAAAGTGCCTGGTGATCCTTTGGATTATGCTAAGACTAGTTTAGGACTAAACACCAATACGTAAATCCCTGCTTACTTAGTGATTGTTTTCTACATTTAGTTTTGCTCTGGAATTATTTGAGGTACTTAAAAAAAACAAACAAACAAACTATAGATTCCTAGCCCCCACCCTAGATTTCCTTAGTCTCTGGGCGTGGGCTTAGAAATTTTTAAACCAGTGCCCCAGGTGAAATTTAAACCGCTGCCCAGGAGCTGTCTGTGAGCTAGGGTTTGGGAACCACAGTCTGGGTATTTTTATTGGTTTAAACAAAACAAAAAAATTTAAAGATTTAAAACAAAAATTAAAAACTGTGGCTTAAAATTGTATATGATATCTTTCTCCTCTCTCCTAAATTCTTTTGGGCTTTTTCATTGATGAAACTAGAAGTTTCAGTGTTTTGTAAAGGAAAAAGGCTTTCAGTTGTCTTTATTTGTTACAGACACATGTTAAAGAATGTTTCTGGCCTTTTATGAAAATGGACTCTGGCGGATAATGTTTTTTACAGGCAGGGTAGATGTAATTTTTTTTTAAGGACCTCAGGCGATAAATAGAGCACATTGCATGTGTGGAAATGGAAAGACCCAGAATTATTTTTAAATATCCTTTATTATACCCTGAGTTCTCAGAAGCAATTATCTAGCTAAAGAAGGCAAAACAATGTTTTGGTTTTCCAAAGCCCTGAGGAGCAGTCCGGTTTTGGGCCTTGAGTGTCTGCCTCTCTCCTAGCTGAAATGACATTGCTGCCAGACCCCGGTCACTGTTGTTTGTGGTACAGTCCAGCTTACTCAGGCAGAAGTGTAATTTGAATGACAAATGGCACAGAAAGAAATAATTTGCCCAACAATGGACTTTGGGGACTTGGAGCCTTTAGTAGGTGGAGTCGGTTTTGCTCCTGTGGTTTGTAAATTTTCAAGATTGGCTATTAACAAGTCCAATCAGTTGCTCTTTTGGGCGTGAGAAGGTCTACGATGGCCTGGCTGGAGGGGCTTCTGGAGTTCTGCGGTGCTCCCACTGCTCCTTTGGTTCCCCGGCATCCCTCCAAGGGTGGAATGCGGGTGTGTGAGGGTCCCCGTCATAAATCCAGCCCCTGTTCCTAAAATGCATGCAGGTGCGTCCTCCAAGGGCCCACCTGGGATAGAGTGAGCTGGAGGTGGCTGAGCTGTCTGCGGGTGGTGTCCTTCAGAGGAAATCTCAGTTCCCTACTAGAGGCCAGGAGGCAGAGGAACAATGATTTAGAGATCTGGGAGGGTTCGAGGGAAGTCTCACACAAGGTCTTTTGCTGCAACACGCTAGCCTGGGCAGTCTGCGCGGGAACCGGGCAGTCGGGTGGTTGGTGTGAGCTACAGCACTCGGAGAGGAGGTAGGATTGGCTGCTGTGTCCCCGGGTAGGGGTGGAGCTTGCCTGCCGGCCTTCCCTCCATCTCCCCTCCCCGCCATGACTCCTCCAGGCAGACAGCAGGCACCTAGACTTGAGGGTTTTCTCCCATTGGTGAACCTATCAGGGGTGTTTACAGAAGCCCCTACCTGGCAAGATGGTTGTGCGGAACCAGGCCTACTTGGTAGAAGCCAGTCTGCCAGCTGCCTTTGGAAACTGTCCCTCTAAGAATCACTGTGGTAGCTTCTATGAGGCTGAGCCACTTCCACAGGTCATTTTCAGGTGTGCAGTGTGCCCGTGCGTCCCTTTGCACTTGGCAGTGCCTTCTGCTGGGTGGGCTCTGAGCCCCCCAGCGTGGCGCTCTGCAACAGAGCAGCTGTGGAGAGCGCTGCTGAGGAGTTATCTGCAGCGGCTGGCAGGAGTATTTTTAAAAGGTTTCTGTGTGGACAGGTGTTTTCTTTCCCCATTTTGGTTCCCGGTGTATCATACTGGAGGGCGGCTATCTTTGTGGCTGTCTGCCTATAGGATTTGGTGAGATGTTGGAGGTGAAGAAAATGTTAGCTCCACATGGCAAGGTTGTATTCAGTGTTTAGGAAGCAAACATATTACACAGCACCTTAAAACAATCAATCGTTGATCCCCACTGGCACCTGTGACGTGGCAGAATAAGTAATGCAGGGTTATCCTAGTTTTATAGGCGCAACTGAGCTGTAAAACAAAGAGTACTCTAGGACATAGTGGAAGATGGGGCCTGAGGAGGTGGTGTCACACATTCTTCCACTTAGAGATGCAAGTGAAAACGTAACTGCTCGTCTGCCTTTCCTTAATGATTGCGAGTGACAGAGGTCCACGTCAAACTCGCTGTTCATTTTAATTTCACGCCGAGAAGTCAGTTGTAGGAGATCACCAGTAGGCATTCCCAGCTGCCTGCTTTTAAGTCCTAGTACAGGAAAGGGGAAATGTTCTGGACCTGCCTTGCCTGTGGGTACGTTCATGATGTGGGGCCGGGTCTCTAGCATGGCTTGGTTCCTGGGCTCCCTGAGTGGGGTGAGGGTCCACAGTAGCTGAGTATCTGGAGGGAGGCTCTCCTATTGTGTGCTGCTGAGTGGGGCTTCCTGGTGGTACAGTGGTTAAGAGTTCAGCTGCTTAACCAACAGGTCGGCAGTTCGAATCCATCAGCCGCTCATTAGAAATCCTATGGGGCAGTTCTGCTCTGTCCTATAGGGTCATTATGAGTCGGAATTGACTGGATGGCAACGGGCTTGCTTGTTTTTTTTTTTTTTTTGGAGTGAGGTTCCAGGGCTCCCTTCCCCAGCAGGAATGAGATATGGGCAGGATTTTCTGCTCCAGCAGGCATTCTTCCAGGGTGAGTGTAGAAACCTGGACTTTGAAGTTTCGTTGACTTACTTGCTTGTCTTAGTTTTATTTACTTGTTGCTAATTTGTGTTTTAGCTAGACTTACATCTAGGAAAGAAGAGTCCTTCCTTATGATAGTTTTCAGGTCAATGACCTGATATCTTATGACTCAGTTTCTCTTTGTAGCTGCTCCCGTGTGGTATGCATGTGAGGTGGAGGGAGGGCAGTTTGCTTCCTGTCTGAGATCAGGGAGACTCATTGCCTTGAGGCCTGTCTTGGTCTTTACTTGGGATTCTTTGTGTTTACTAAGAAGTATGGTAAATTTAGTTTTTGATAGACAGTTGATTAATTTCTGTGACTTTTGAACTTAAATTTCTTGAAAATAGATAGTCATTCTGGATAAAATTTTTTCTTATACATATACATGTAGATTTACTGAAAAATATATATGTAGTTGACCTAGGTAGACACCAGAAGACTTTTTTGGCATTTAGTCTTGTAGATTGTTAAGAATATTAAAATCTTTTTCATTGAATTCCATTTATCAACTGAGTTATATTTTATAGGTTTTTTGCTGTTGTTATTTAGGGAGAAAACATGGTAACATGTTCTATTTCAGCAATTCTCAAATAAGATTTAGTAAATATTCCATAAAGGGTCCTATCCCATCCATGATTTATGACTAAAAATTTGTAAGATTGGAGGGTACTTTATAACTTTATAGCTCAGTTCCCAAACAAGTATTTCCCTTAATTTCCTTTGGGATACCAAACCAAATCAGATCCATTGCATTCAGTCAATGCCAACTCACAGCGACCACTGTGCCACCAGGGCTTCAATAGGGAGGATTAATTTGGGGATGAAATTAGTGGTAAGAATTACTATCTGAGAATAAGGAGTCACAGTGTATTTTGCTGGCCTAGAAACAGCTTCTATACATAATTATTAAAAAAAACTTAAACCTACTTAAGTTTATATTAAATCTGCAAAAATCATAATGTTGAAATCATTAAACATATAATATTGAAATTAATGGAAATGTAATATATTTGACTAGCCCTTGCATTACTGATCTTTGTTCCAGTTAAGCATTGCTTGAACATCTGCCATCTGGAAGATGTTGTTTATAGTTGAGTAAAACAGGGTCCCCAACCTCAAATTGCTCATACTGTGTTGGTGGGGATGGGAGAGGAGGGTTGATATAGCCATAGACTTCAACTACTGGTCTGATTTGGAGGTGCTCTAAATGGAGCTACAAAATATGTCCTGTAGGAGAGAGCAATGAATTCTGACTACAGAGTTGGAAATGGCTTCACAGAGAAGATGAAATTTAAAATAGTTGGGTAAGATTTTTTGCAGAGAAAAAATTGGGATATAGGCATCTGGGAAAGAAGGAAGAGCATGGGTACCTATGGTACTTAAGAAGATAGT